TGCTAGATATAACATTGTCTTCGTCAGATTTTTCAGGAGTCGACTTTCTACCAGGAAAATCGCTTACTGATCTAGAATATGCCGATGAAATAGTTCTATTCGGTGAAGACGCTGACAAAATGCAGTCTTCTGACTACGATAAGCAACAATGCGAACATGTTCGGGATGCGGTATTCTCCCTCGAAATGCAAAATGTTGCTTCAAGATTCGGTTTCATCGGCACCTGAACTAGTGATAGGGAGTGAAGTAGTCGAGCGAGTAGACCGCTTCACTTATCTTGGGAGTCTCATCAGTGCCGATGGCCTGGTGGCTGACGAAACCTCAGCTCGGATACAGAAAGCTCGATTGGCTTTTGCCAACATGCGTCACTTACGGTGTAGGCGAGATATCCGTTTGCTGACTAAAGGTCAAGTGTACTGTGCAGGAGTTTGCTCCATCTTACTTTATGGCTGTGAAACATGGCGAGTCAGAGTAGAAGATATTCGTAGGTTACTGGTTTTTGATCATAGGTGTCTTCCAAGCATTGCTCGTATATCCTGAGACACCCGAGTGAGCAACGCTGTTGTTAGGAAACGAGTACTATGTAAAAATGGCAGATCGATAGATGAAGTAATGAAACTTCATCGACTGAGGTGGTTGAGACATGTGTTGCGTATGCCTAACCACCGACTGCCTCGTCGAGCTATGTTTTGCGATTTAGGAATAGTTTGGAAGAAAGTAAGGGGCGGCTAAGCCTAAACATGACTGAAATCCATGATGTCACTGACAACTAGATTGAGTCATGTCAGTCAGTCAGTCAGTTAGTTGCAACGCAGAACTTCGTACGTTTGTACATAGGTTCATGTCGCCATACCACATTAGCACAGAGACGCAAATGTCAAATCAAATCCCATAGTGATAAAGTTAGTAGGGGTATTAATGGTAATGAAGAAGACTAGGGTTTGAAGATCTTATTCAAGAAGTATGATTCAGTGAGATAAGGCTAGAAAGACAAAGGTAGAGGTGCTGACGAATCCAGAAGATTATGATTTGAGAGAGCTCAAAGAATGGATGCACTTGACCCATTCCAAACGATTTTGAGCTATGTCGTTCAAGGTCTCTAACCATTGGTGACTTTCGTCTCGCGGACCCCAACCAGGTAGTCCACATCTACCAACATGTGAGTCATGTCGGTAGGTGTCGAATACCTGTGCTAATGTGGTATGACAGCTTCAACTGATTGATGTACCTAGGTACAAAGTTCTATGTTGTTGTTGACTGACTAATTGACTAAACTTCGATCTACCTGCTTTAGAGCTGAGATACATTCAAATGATTAATCACTCGATTGTGACGAATAATATTTTTTCTTTCTTCTATCCCTTTATAATATCGATCATATCCTATCATCGATAAGGCGTGTAAATATGATCAATAGTCTAAGAGTAATTCAACATTTCGTATACACTATATAACTAGTGTTCAAGTGTTCAACAAATTTGAATCAATACGGCTTTGTGTTTATTTATTAACACAGGTCTGCATTATTTGTATATGTTTAACATTGTGTAACATCTTTGTTACTTACTTAATTTAGAAATATTCACAATAAAAATAAACCAGTAGAATTGTTGTTCTATTTCAATTCTTTTTTCACATTTTTCTCTCTCTCCATTTCTCTCTTTCCTCTACACACACGAATTCTAATGACTATCTGATTGTAATCACAAATGAAACAACACTTTCACACATTCATTTTCTTGTGAATATTGATAATTGTATCCTTCCTTAATATAGAAGGTTTCTTAATTTAGATATGTTGTGTTTATTTACTTATATTTTTTTCATCCTGTTTGTTCATCTAATCTACCTTATTCTCTAACTTGCAAAAAATTATTCTCATATAGATGATATATATAAGATTGATGGATTGAATTTGTAAACGAGTAGAAATTTGTAATCTACAATGCCTTCAAATGCCACGAGATGGCTGAAAGTGGGTTTATAGTTTACTTTCTCGATATACATACACTCTCATATGGTCATGCATATATAGCTACTTGTTAAGGAAGTCCTGCTCACTGGCATCTCTGGGTGGTGGTGGTGGGCAGTTGTTGCCGATGAAAAGCGGATGTTCAGATTGTGTTGAAACTGATTTGTTGAATCCAGAGGATCTTCCGAGAGGAGTTGGATAATCCTGGTTTTAAACTAATGGTATACACAGACTCTAGAATCTTGAGGGGACAGTTAGTGTTTGAATCTATTGTTAGCGACGGGCTACCATGAGACTGCATCTCTTGACGTTGCTCCTCCTCTATCTTGTGGATTAAACGTTTGGGTCAAATTCTCAACACGTGACCGCCTAAAAAAACCGAGTGCATTCAGTTTGAGTGTCCGGACAGTATCCCAGTGTAGTCTTAAATTTAATAACTTGTTTGACGCATAAATATTTCGGTAGACTTTCGTATCAATGTTTGTATTTGAATAAGAAATCTCCCGTTATAAGTATCCAGAACTACACTTCCTTAATTTCTATTTTTCATCTCCACATCCTGATCGGATTTATTCATTATAATACCTTTTTTGTTAAAAGTTTTCTTGTATTCAGTATGTGTCTAGCACTGGAATCTAGGATGCATGGTTCATTACTTACTTACTCTGTTACTTACTTACGCCTGTTACCCTCAGAGGAGCGTAGGCAGCCAACCTGCATTCTCCAACCTATTCTGTCTTCTGCCTTCCTTTCCAGTTCTGTCCAATTGTTGTTCATTCTTCTCAAATCTGTCTTCATTTCTCAGCGCAATGTGTTCCCTGGTCTTCCTCTTTTCCTTTGACCTTGAGGATTCCAAACACCATGTTTCATGGTATTTACAAATTGTCGTCTGAATGTATCTGTATCATTAGGTTGAGATATATTCACACTGGAACTAAAACTTTTGTAGTAGAGATTGAGAAAATAAAAAATGATTATCGTAGTATAAACTATGAATTCATTTTATTTCGTTAAAGAGTTTTCTCTTCATCAATTGCTTACAACCATCTATCATATTTTAAAATCAAAATTATCAGAGAACTATTGACGTAAATGTGTATGCTGTTTTACTGCACCAACCTTTGATTTTGCTGTCTATTTGTATAAAACCGAGTACGGATTGTTTCAAATGTCAAATCCAGTGAATTTAACAGATTATTGACTTTCTGTTTTCTGTTCTAGTGTACTTGATGCGTCCTAAAAATCTATATATTTATGATACTTACTTACTTACTTACGCCTGTTACTTCCAGAGGAGCGTAGGCAGCCAACCTGCATTCTCCAACCTATTCTGTCTTCTGCCTTCCTTTCTAGTTCTTCTCAACTGCTATTCATTATCTTCAGCTCTGCTTCCGATTCTCGGCGTAATGTGTTCTTTGGTATTCTTTTTTTCCTTTGGCCCTGAGGATTCCAAGTGGGGACTTGTCTTGTAACACAGTTAGGTGCTTCCCTCAATATGTATCCTAATTTCTTCCTCAGTTGCAATTTGGGTTGTTCTCTCCTACAGTAAGGTTGGTTGTTGCTGATAGTATCTGGCTGGCGAATTTGCAGTATTTGTTTCGTAAAAAACTATTAATAAACATGTGTACTTTCGGGATCATGACTTTCGTGGTTCTCCAAGTTTCCGTTCCATATAAAAAATCAAACTGTCTTCACATTTGTATTGAAAATTTTAACTTTGGTATTGGTTGATATAGTTGTGTTAAGTTGCAAATATTCTTCAATATTTAGGATAAGATTTTACTTACTCCACTAAAAAGAATAAGCCGACTTATCAAGGTTGATTATTTCGATTTTGATAACTCGTCACTGTTCGCTTATTAATTGGCTCATAGATCTCTCAAGGTTACCAGAATATAATACTCTCATCAAAATGTAATGCCAATACTATTTAATAATACATTAACGATGACGGCGTGCACTAGAATGCAGGACGTATGTTTCGTGCTATTTGATACTCACCAGTCGTAGCTGCTTGTACCTGGATCTCAGAGAGAGATGCAAAAGGTGATCAGTTACAGTCCTGACTGACGAAATCTCAGCTCGATTGGCTTTTGCCAACCTGCGTCACCTATGGCGCAGGCGAGATATCCGTTTGCTAACCAAAGGACGAGTGTACTGTGCAGCAGTTCGCTCCGTCCTACTGTACCAATGCGAGACTTGGCCGTTAAGAGTAGAGGACTTCCGTAGGTTACTAGTCTTCGATCATCGATGTCTCCGAAGCATTGTTCGTGTATCATGGGACAACCGTATAAGCAATGCTGTCGTTAGTAAACGAGTACTAGGTAAGGATGGCAGATCAATAGATGAAGTAATGAGACTTCATCGGTTGAGGTGGTTGGGACATGTGTTACGAATGCCCCATCACCGAGTGCCGTGACGAGCTATGTTTTGTGGTGTAGGAGTAGATTGGAAGAAAGTTAGGGTTGGCCAAACCAAAACATCGCATAAATCCACGAAGTCACTGACTAGTGGACTGAGTCATGTTGGTAGATGTAGGCTATCTGGTTGGGGTCCTCGAGACCAAAGTCACCAATGGTTAGAGACCTTGAACGACATGGCTCAGAATCGTTTGCAATGGCGCAGGTGAGTCCACTCTTTGTGTTCTATGAAATTCTACGCTTCTGCATTCCTCACAATCTCTACCTTTCTCCTAAATTTATCTTACTGAATTATACTTATCGAATCTTATCATATATTCGCTCCGTAATCTTCTCCATTGCTGCTGATACTTCTATTATTGCTATCACTCTGGGATTTGAACTGACAGTCGCGTCTCTGTGCTGATGGGGCATGGCAACCTGAACTGATGTACGTACGTACGAAGTTCTGCGTGTTGTATCTGTACATTCAATCAACCAATACAAATGAATTATTTCCAAATGCCATAGTTTCTTTTCAAAGTGAAAATTCTCTTCTATATGTGTAATATTTGTTTGTCTACGACACTATTGATTTTCGAATCGAACTCATTTTCTTTTTTCTTTAGATATTCTATCGTCTTCATGCATGGTTCACCTGGTTACTTCGTGCTGGTGGACGTCGTTGGAGTATAGTACCACCGGTGATTGCACCGCCAATTAATGAAGATTCTATTGTAGCTCAAGAAGAATATGAAGCATTTATTTCAGCTGGTTTTGAATATTTAACTACATCGAGTTCAAGGAATACTACTACTACAACAACAACAACTACTACTAACACTACTACTAGTAGTAGTGTTAGTGTTACGTCGTCTTCTGCTGCTGCTGCTTCCGCTGTTTCCTCGATCATCGGTAACCAATCTGCATTATCTAATTATAAATTTGGTAATAATATTGGTCAGTCAAATGGTTTCACACTCTTGTCAAAATCATTCAATACTACTGCTAATACTACTACTACTGCTAGTAGTAGTAATAATAATAATAATAACAACAGTACAAGGGATTCATCAATCGAGACAGATTGTCATAAAAAACTATCATTATATTTAAATAATATGTCTGCAGAAATGACCAATTCCATGTGAGTGTTGTTCAGTTTCTTTTCTGTATTGATTTTAAAAGAAAAGATAAACTCAGCTATCAGTTTACGTACGGATGTATATATATATATATATTTATGTATTTGAAAGTTGAGCCCCTCTGAGTCTACTGCCGGTCGGAAGCCCGGATAAAGAATGAGGAAGAGAGTTGGACCTGGGAGGGGGTTAGCGACATTATCCTGTAGAAAACTAACCCCCCCATTATTCGGGTTTGGGATCGGCAGTAACTACAGATTGAGCTTCAGGCGGTGTTGATAGATATACATATATAGCACTCGCTCACTCACTCACTCAATCAATCAACAACATAGAACTTCGTACCTACGTACATACAGCAGATATCACTGCTGTTTCCACATCTTTTTTTGATATCATTCCAAGCTACCTCAGGGTGGGCATCACTTACTAAATGGCTGCCTAACTGTTTTTCTAGTTCCTGAAATCTGTTCTTAGCTTTATTATTATTAAGTAGAGCCCTAAGAGGTTTCCTTGCGATATTTTTCTTACGTTCAGTAAGACTCAAAGAAATTTCACACTCGCACTCGCTCATGGTCTGAGTCTAAACAAGTACTCCGGAATGAGCGGCAGTCTTCAATAGAGCCTCTCCACCGATGATGGCTGATGGCGATGTGATATAGTTGGATCCATCGTTGAAACGACTTTGGGGGTCACCGTGGCAAGAGGTGCTTTACCTTATGCTTAAAGTTAGTGTTTGCCAGGAATAGGCGGTTATCTAAGCATAGCTGCAGCAGACGGCCGCTCATTATCTGTTCTCTGAGCCGCGACACCATAAGATCTACTTAGGTGTCTTTCCTTTTCACTGAGTCTACCTACTTGAGCATTAAAGTCACCAGCCATTATTACTATGTCAGAGCGCTTAACATTTTGGAGTGTCGTCTGAACTGCAGTCAGCGAGAGCGTATTCAGATACGACGAAGAAGCAGTGGAGAGTGTCCCTATCCTTCCGAGTCCGTACCGTCCCGTTTAGTCGGATAGCGCATAAGCGACTGTCTATCGGGATCCAGTCTAAGAGAGCTAGCTCTGCCCTAGGATCTAATACTATACATACGCCGGTGTGGCCACGAGAAGCGGAGGACCAGAAATCTCGGAAGACGTCTCATCCAATTAGTTTTGAATGGAAGTTTTACAGAAACACCTGAAAAATAACATGATTGCATGTTGCAATCCTGATTGGATATTTGGCCGTACCGCCATTATATTGAGTTATGGTTCCCGAACCTTCCAAAAACCCAAAATCATGTTTAACTCGACAAATACCCTTCGAGTAAAGCGTTTTTCTCGTATATATTGTGTGTATTGTAGTAATGTAAATTTAGTCTGGGGTGGGGGGTCTGCGAGATGATAATAATCGATGGTTAGAGACCTTGAGTGATAGGGCTCAAAAACGGTTGCAATGGCGCCGGTGCATTTATTCTTTGTGTTCTCTCAAATACTAATCTTCTGGATTCTTCAACACCTCTAGTTTTGACTTTCTAAACTTATCTCACTGAATCATTGAACTTGAACTTTCGCCTGTTACCCCCAATGGAGCATAGGCCGCCCACCAGTTTTCTCCAACCAACTCTGTCCTGGGCTTCCCTCTCCAGTTCTGTCCAATGTTTGTTCATTCCTCTCATATCTTTCTCTATTTCACGGCGTAGTGTGTTCCTTGGCCTTCCTCTTTTCCTTTTGCCTTGAGGGTTCCATGTGAGGGCTTGTCTAGTGACGCAGTTGGGTGCTTTTCGTAGTGTATGTCCTATCCATTTCCACCGCTTCTTCCTGATTTCCTCCTCCATTGGAATCTGACTTGTTCTCTCCCACAGTTCGTTGTTGCTGATGGTGTCTGGCCAACGTATACGAAGTATTTTGCGTAGACAACTGTTAATAAACACTTGCATCTTCTGGATGATGGTTTTCATAGTTCTCCATGTTTCCGCTCCATACAGTAGAACTGTCTTGACATTTGTATTGAAAATCCTTATTTTGGTTTTGGTTGAAAGTTGTTTGGAGTTCCACATATTTTTCAACTGTAGAAATGCAGCCCTCGCTTTGCCAATCCGCGCCCTCACATCTGCATCCGATCCACCTTTCTCGTCGATGATGCTGCCAAGATATGTGAAGGTGTTAACGTCCTCCAAGGTATCTCCATCAAGCGTGATTCGGTTGGTGCATGTTGTGTTGCATCGGAGAATTTTGCTTTTTCCTTTATGTATGTTGAGACCTACTGCTGCAGAGGCTGCTGCTACACTGGTCGTCTTCTCTTGCATTTGTTGTTGAGTGTGCGATAGAAGAGCCAGGTCATCTGCGAAGTCCAGATCGTCCAACTGCGTCCTAACTGTCCAGTTGATACCGTGCTTCCCTCCAGATGTTGACGTCTTCATAATCCAGTCGATGACCAGGAGAAAGAGAAAGGGTGAGAGTAAGCAACCTTGCCTGACACCGGTCTTCACCTCGAAAGAGTCGGTTAGCTGTCCTCCGTGCACGATTTTGCAGTTGAATCCATCATAAGAATTCCGTATGATGTTGACTATTTTCTCAGGCACACCGTAGTGTCGAAGAAGCCTCCACAGTGTTTTCCTATCCACGCTATCAAATGCTTTCTCGTAGTCGATGAAGTTGATGTAGAGTGGTGAGTTCCATTCAATTGATTGTTCCACAATGATCCGTAATGTAGCAATTTGGTCAGTACATGATCGATCCTTACGAAATCCGTCCTGTTGATCTCGAAGTTGGGCGTCTACGAAGTCCTTCATTCTGTTTAACAATACTCTGTTGAAGACTTTGCCTGGTATTGAGAGAAGAGTGATGCCTCTGTAGTTTTCACACTTGCTGAGATCGCCTTTCTTCGGTATTTTGATCAGGTATCCTTCTTTCCAATCTGATGGTACTTGTTCCTCATCCCAAATCTTCTTGAAGAGAATGTGAAATATATTCGCAGTTGCTTCCACATCTGCTTTCATTGCCTCTGCTGGAATGTTGTCTGGTCCTGCTGCTTTGCCGCTCTTGATTTGTCTGATGGCCATACTGATCTCCTCAATCGTAGGTGCGCCAATATTAATTGGGAGGTCCGTGGATGCTGCTTCGATGTTGGGTGAGTTCAGTGGAGCTGGTCGATTCAATAGTTCCTTAAAGTGCTCTACCCACCTATTTCGCTGTTCGTCAGTGTTGCTAATTAGTTTGCCTTCCTTGCTTTTCACTGGTCGTTCTGGTTTACGATAGTTTCCGGCGAGCTTCTTTGTTGTTTCGTACAATTGTCTCAAGTTTCCGTCTCTTGCAGCCTTTTCCGCCGTCATTGCTAGATCTTCCACATATTTTCGTTTGTCAGCTCTGATGCTCTTCTTCACTTCCCTGTTTGCTTCTGTATACTCGGCTTGCGCCTTAACTTTCTCTGCTCTTGTTCGGCAGACATTGATAGCTGCCTTCTTGTTCCTCCTTTCTTGAATTTTTTCAAGAGTACCAACAGAGATCCATTCCTTGTGATGGTGCTTCTTGCGACCAAGGACCTCCTGACATGTTGAAGTGATTGCCTCCTTAATCCCTTTCCAATTGTTCTCCAATGTTGCTTCCTCTCCATTGAGTAGATCCTGAAAGGCCTGGAACCTATTGGTGAGGGCTATCTTGAATTCGTTGAGTTTTACGGTATCCCGAAGAAAGGCCGTATTAAACTTGTGTGATGTTGTCTGCCCCGCTGTCCAGTGCTTCTTTAGCTTCAATCTCATTTTGGCGATCAGCAAGTGGTGATCTGAAGCTATATCAGCTCCTCTCTTGGTTCTCACATCCTCCATGGTCCTTCTGAACTTTTTGTTGATACAGATATGGTCAATTTGGTTTTGAGTAGTGTGGTCCGGTGAAATCCATGTGGCTTTGTGAATGCGTTTGTGCGGGAATATTGTGCCACCGATGACCAGTTTGTTGAAGGCACATAGGTTTGCAAATCTCTCACCGTTTTCGTTCCTTTCTCCCAGTCCATGTCGTCCCATGATGTCTTCATATCCAGTGTTGTCCATTCCAACCTTGGCATTCAGGTCTCCCATAAGAATCGTCAAATCCTTTGGTGAACATTTATCGACGACTGACTGCAGCCTTTCGTAGAATTGATCTTTAACGTCGTCATTGTAGTCATTGGTAGGTGCATAACATTGGATGACGTTCATTGTAATGTCCTGTTTCTTTGTTTTGAAGGATGCTTTAATGATCCTGGGTCCATGAGATTCCCATCCTATCAGTGCCTTTTGTGCATGTTTGGACAGCATCAGTGCAACTCCTTGTGTATGTGAAGCGTTTTCCTCCTCATGACCAGAGTATAACAGCAGTTCCCCTGAAGCAAGTCTCAGTTGTCCTACCTGTGTCCAATGTGTTTCACTGATGCCGAGCACCTCGAGGTTGTATCTTTTCATTTCTGCCACAACTTGAAATATTCTTCCAGTCTCCCACAATGTACGAACGTTCCATGTACCTAAAAAAATGGTTGCTCTGGTTGTCAGAAGAGGCATCGGCCCCGTGACTTCCGAGAGGACTCGGCTTTCATCACGAGACGTCATAATTCTTCTTCCAACTCCCAAGGCAGAGTTAAAATGGTTTAAATTATTTTTTCTGGTTAGCGTTTTTTTGGCAAGTGAGATTTCAACGGAATGGGGTCGCCAACCCCATGTCCAACCCTCCTCCTTTATCCGGGCTTGGGACCGGCAGTAGCCCCTAAGGTTCTACTGGCGGAGTTCACTGAATCATACTTGTTGAATAATATCTTCTAATCCTAACCTCTCCGATTACTTCTAATACCTTTACTACCTCTACTACTATTGGATTTGAATTGACAATTATATCTCTATGCTGATGTAGTATGGCAACATGAACTGATGTACTTACGTACGAAGTTCCACGTTGCATCTGACAGACTGACTGACTGACTGGGGTGGGGTTGAATAAAAGCGAATAGGTGAGATCATATCTTGTGTTCATTCATTTAAAAAACACCACCAACAATCAACAACAACTAATAAACATCTCCTTTTTCTTCTTGCTTTTATTTTTTAGCTCATTTATGATATTATTCCGATTATTCACTGTACTTGGTATCAGTTCATTTGGTCGATTAGTTCAACATATTGCTGTTGGTAATCAACTAGTAGTACAATCATTAACTGAAGATGTCCATTCAACATTGACATTGTCAGCATTAGCTAAACTATTACCAAAAGGATGTATTAGACAGGTATCATACTGTTTGTTTGTTTGTTTGTATATGTATGTATATGTATGTATCAATCAGTCAGTCAGTCAGCCAGCATGAAACTTTGATCTTGGTAGGGTATGTACGTTTTTTTTGCTTTGACCGCTTTTAACTTTCTTCTATAGTCTACTGTTATAATGCTGCTACGTATCGCTATTCAGTCCTAGCGACGTCCTATTCAAATATCCCATTACGACTCAAAATGCTATTTCCAAATCTGCTATATATATCAGAACACAACATCGTGGGATGGAGTTGTTAATTGGGTCGAGTACAAAAGAGAGGTAGGCAGGAGAAACGGAATCGGAATTGGAATCCTGAAGGCTTACAGATAGTGCGTATTTATACATTAAGGTAGACTAGGAAAGAGCATCAAAGTCTGTGACATTGAGAGTTTAGGACGACCAATAGGAAAGAACACTTGAAATGACATTGACAGTCCGGATGACCAATAAGAGACAACATTGAAGTATTTGACTTTGACAGTTAAAACGACCATAATTTTGACCAATAGAAATCAACCAATAGGATTATACTTCCAAAAATAGTACTCTTAGGATATTTGGTGAATATCCTAACATCTACTACCACATCGGACTATCTTCCGTCAGAGTAGTAGTTGGGCTTATGTAACACTTGGTCTAACCACTTTAGTTGATGAAAATTCACTACACTACTTCATCAGTTGGTTTACCATTCTTACCAAGTACCGTATTCCTAACCACAGGATTGCTTACTCGATGGTCTCCTAGGATATACGAACAATGCTTTGAAGACAACTCCGATTGAGTGCTGGAGACCTATGAATATTCTTCTATTTTGCTAATGGTCATGTTTCACATCCATGTAGTAGTAGAACAGAGCGAACTACTGCTCCGTAAACTCGTTCTGTGGTCAGCAGATAGATATCTCGCCTACTCCATAAATGACGTAAGTTTGCAAAACCCAGCTGAGTCTTCTGTATTCGTGTCACGATTTGGTCAGACACTAGGCCATCACGACTAATGAAGTGAAATGGTAGACACTTTGAATATGTACGATGTAGTACGTTGTAACTTATCATCTCACTACTAAAGTATATATTTATCTATGCGTAACTTTGATCTAAAATTGTTTGCGTAGTAATTTGCATTAGGTTTACATTACTATTACAGACTTCTGATGGGAAACTTATATAATTGAAAGTCAGGCGTTTCAACCATCTAATCGTCCTGTTCATATTTAGATACTTATTATTAAGTCAGATAATTATTTAAATGAAATCGACCACTTTACGCTATTTACTCTTTGTGGACTATAAGATCACCGACCAGGTTTCTTCAGCTGACTCTGTTCTAAGCTCTTATTTCCTTCTGTTCCCAGGTGGTAGTTAGGGTTCTTTTTGTACGAGATTGGGCAGTAAACCCCACACCCCAAATATTATGACGACAGTTAAGTGAACTTATTTGACTAAGCGACGATGATCACATATTATGTCGTTGTCAATATTTTCAAATTCATATACCTTTCATGTTTCGTCATGATCTATAGTGTTTTGAAACTGAACTGAATTGTCATAGAATGATTTATACTTTTAACGAAATTCGATTAATTTATGGTGGATCACAAAATTGGTTCAATACTGTCAGCGATGGCATTTGTATCACTTTAAATATAATAGTTTCATGCTAATAGGGTATGGCAATTCTGTCCGTCTCATATCTGTCCCAGCCTTTATATATTGGCTGTATTTATCTATCTGTCTAAACTCTATGAGTCACAAAACAAATATCTAGTGTTACCCATTTTTCAATTATTCTCCAAGTGTTAACAGTGTTTGTGTAAAACTTCATTGACCAGAGCATCCCCCTCAAATGCCCTACGACAGTCGACAGTGGGGAGAGTCCATTCTCCCTCTCAAAATGCTCACATTTGACCACGTGTATATAACCTTTTGTTTAGGAAGTCTTGTTCATTGCCTTCTCATGGCGGTGGTGTTGTTTGCGAAATTAAGAGCACGGAAAGTGATGTCCGGAATTGGCTTAAATTGAGTTGATGAATATGCAGGATCTATCTAGAGCAGTTGAAAAACCCTAATTCCAAACCAATGGTTGATATAAGCTCCAGTATCTTGATGAAACAAACGATGCGTGAGTCTATTATTGGTGTCTGGCTTCCATGAGATCGCATCTCCTAACGTTGCCCCGCTCTCTCATGGATTCTACTTTCCGGCCAAAGACTCAACGTGTGACAACCCTCTAAGAAACCAACCTGCTTCGGTCTGGGTACCCTGACAGTGTCCCAAACCCCTTACTAAATCACTGATTTTGTACCAATTATCATGTGTTTAAATAAATACCTAATACTAATAGTATTTCAATTTTCAATTGTTACTTTCCAAAGGTGATAGCAAGTCATGAATATTTGGCACCGTTTCGTTGTAATCTATTAAGTGTAACCAGTAATTTAATCATGTTAGAAGAGGATGTCAATATGGCAAAAGATGTTTTATATTTATCAGTTTATCGTTGTGAATGTAAATCAGCAACACCGACAACCACAACAACAACGGCTACTACTACTACGAATACTACTGAAATCAATGAACAATCTTTTCTGCAGTCATATGTTAATTCTGTAAGTATTCTTATCATATATATATATATATATATATATATATATATATATATATATATATATGCTTGTGTATGCGCAAATTGATTTACTGAATATATTAAAGCTTTTTTTGTCATTGTTGGCTTTTTATAGGCATATTCTTGTTAAGTGAAATGCAGTCAATCAGTCAGGAACTTGAAAAGGAAGTTGAATTACTGTTGTTGGTCTTAGAGACCTGGGAGTGTGAGTGCATAATAGTCCAAGGGACCACTGCTTGAGGCGAGTTGCGAATGGTTTTTTTTGTAGGAAGTTGACATGTTAGCTCCGCCTGCCAAATGGCCTTACCACCGGAGACGCAAATGCGTGAAAAGAAATACCTCTTAGCTCAACTTCGTACCATGGCATTTGGGAGGTTATTAGCAGAAGTAGTACGAGCGATAAAGTTTTCTAATACAATACACAGAGCTAAAAATGTGTCAGTCAATAGTAAAAACTGTTTCTTATTGAGTTCGGCTGCCATGATGTGTAAAACACTTATAGCAGTAGTGGATGTTACGCTATAATTAGGCTATGGTTTATTGGCTGGGCTAAGGGAGTTGAAAAATTTCGATTTCTAACCAAATGGTAGCTCTGTACTTACTTACTTACTTACTTTCGCCTGTTACCACCAATGGAGCATAGGCCGCCCACCAGTTTTCTCCAACCAACTCTGTCCTCGGCTTCCCTTTCCAGTTCTGTCCAATTTTTTTTCATTCCTCTCATATCTTTCTCTATTTCTCGGCGTAATGTGTTCCTTGGTCTTCCTCTTTTCCCTTTGCCTTGAGGGTTCCTAGTGAGGACTTGTCTTGTGACGCAGTTAGGTGCTTTTCGTAATGTGTGTCCTATCCACCACTTCCACCGCTTTTTCCTGATTTCCTCCTCCACTGGAATCTGGTTTGTTCTCTCCCACAGTTCGCTGTTGCTGATGGTGTCTGGCCAACGAATCCGAAGTATTTTGCGTAGAAAACTGTTAATAAACACTTGTATCTTCAGGTTTCCATGCCACATTAGCACAGAGAGATGGAATCGGTACTTCAAATCCCATAGTGGTAGATGTAGTATAGGTATTAGCAGTAATCGAAAAGATTAGGGTTCGAAGTTAGTATTCAAGATGTATAATCCAGTGTAATAAATTTGAAAAGATAATGATGAAGGTCAGGAGGTAATGAGTGATTTCATGTATTTGTGCCATGTTTTGCTCTGGTCACCCCTAGATTCCTCCTAGTCTACCACGACACCACAAAACATAGCTTGTGGAGGCAGTCCGTTGGTGGTTGGGCATGCGTAACACATGTCCCAACCACTTTCACAGAAGTCCAAGTGTGATAGCATTAGCACATACAGAGACAGATGAAATTATCAGGCCAAATCCCATAGTTGTAGAGGTTGTAACAGTATTAGCGATAATCGAAAGGATCAGAGATCGAAGTTATATAGTCCAGTGAGATAAATTTACAGAGAGAAAGAAAAGAAAAGTCATGAGGAATTCAGAAGACAGTAGAATTCGACAGAAGACGAAATTATGGATGCATCCTCACCATTGCAAACGATTTCGGATCATGCCATTCAGTGTCTCTAACCACCATTGACAATTGTGCTAAGTAAGTACTTAGTACTTACATGACTCAGTCCAGTAACTTATAGTTAGAGACCTTGAACGACATGGCTCGAAATCGTTTTGCAGGTGCATTCATTCCTTGTGTTCTCTTAAATTCTAACCTTCTGAATTCCTCGTCATCCCTATTTTTCTCTTTCTAAAGTTATCTCACTGAACTATACTTCTTGAATAATGTCTTCGATCCCTAATATTTTTCTTTTATCTCCACCACTATGGGATTTGAACTGACAGTTGTGTCTCTGTTCTGATGGGTGTGGCAACATGAACTGATATACATGCGTACGAAGTTCTACGTTGTAACTGACTGACAGTCCAGTTGTCAGTGACTGGTATCATGTTTTTTTTCGATCATAGGTGTCTTCGAAGCATTGCCCGTTTATCCTGGGACACTCAAGTGATCAACGCTGTTATTAGGAATCAGGTGCTAGGTAACGGTGCAGATCAATATATGAGGCATTGAAACTTTATCATTTGAGGTGGTTGGGACATGTGTTACGACCAGACCAAAACATGGCAGAAATCCATGAGGTCACTGACAAGTGGACTGATTCATGTCGGTAGATGTAGACTACCTGGTTAGGGTCCGCGAGATGATAATAATCGATGGTTACAGACGTTGAATGACATGGCTCAAAATCGTTCGCAATGGCGCCGGTGCATTTATTCTTTGTGTTCTCTCAAATCCTAATCTTCTGGATTCTTCAACACCTCTAGCTTTTACTTTCTAAACTTATCTCACCGAATAATATCTTCTAATCCCAACCTCTCCTATCACTTCTAATACCTTTACTATCTCTACTACTATTGACAATCACATCTCTGTGCTAATGTGGTATGGCAACGTGAACTGATATACTTACGTACGAAGTTCCACGTTGCGACTGACTGACTGACTTACTGTTATTATGTTTTAGTATGGACACCCTTAACTTTCTTCCAGCATACTCCTACATCAGAAAGTATTGTCCGTCGAGGTAGTCAGTGGGTTGGTTCGGCATACGCAACACATGTTCCAACCACCTCAACTGATGAAGTTCCACTACTTCATTAATTGATGATGTGCCATCCTTACGTATTACCCTTTTCCTAACCCCCCGATATTGCTTACTCGCTAGCATCACAATACACAAGCAATACTCCTGTAACAACGTACTCCTCGTCATTTGGGCATAATAAGTCGAAAGAAAGAGAGAGAAAAGTCGTTTTTTTATCCCAATTGCATATCCCTTTCATTTATATATTGATTCTTTCTCTCTCCATCTCTCTCTCCCCATTTACCACAAAAACAAATCAAACAAACAAATCTGCAGTTACATTTTAAATTATGTTCAACAATGCCAACATTCGATTCAGAATTAATCGTATACAAACAATCATTACCTTGTCGTCATTTCTCTCCCCCAAATCATCCATCGGTGGCAACAATCTCACGACAACTTTTATCAAATACTACTAGTACTCATACTACTAACACTATTACGAATACTACTCATAATAGCAGTAGCAGTAGTAATAATAATAATGAACGCATCGCTCTATCGAATTATGCCCAGCAAATTATTAAATTATTCACTATTAATCCAATTTTCAAATCGATGGATGTTTATTCTATCGCTTTGTCCACTATACAACATGAATGGATTAATCGAGCACGTTTATTGTATTCATTTAAACGTTGTCAAGTAAGTTTTTGTTTGTGATTGAATTGAATTGAATTGAATTGTCTTTGTGAATTCAGTATTGGTACTATTATTATTATTATTATTATTATTATTATTATTATTATAATTGATATATGATAAATGTGATGGGTATGGTGGAGAGTAAGGAGATTCTCTTCTTTGACGAACTGCTCTTTAAATGACTATGCGTTTATAGCAACTGCCTTCTTGTGACGTGGGGGAGGGGGGAACATTGTTCATGGGATCAGGAGAACTGAAAGGCGGGTATCTAGCAATAGTTGAAACTGAGTTGGTGGGTATAAAAGAGATATACTGTAGGGATTTCTGCTCACTTCCTGTTGGGGATGTTAGATTCCCAAAACTCGCTTGATAAATGCCTTATTTTGGATTTCACGTTTGCGAGCATGGGCTGATCAGTTGACCTTGGGATTTCATTTCCCATCAACCAGGAAAATCCATGGTTGTGATTGGCTGCTGTGTATTTTAGTGTGCTATTTTCGTAACTGTCCCATGGATGTTTCTATGATGTATGAATAAACGAGAGTTGTATGCTTGATTGTGTATTGTGATTGCTGGGTGTTTGTAGAATATACTTCTACGCTTATAAAGCCTTCTGTCTTCAGTTTGGGATTCAAGGTAGCCTACCTGTACGCTGGTTCATTGTCTCGTTCGCGTTTATCGACTAAGTTAAACTCGTAATAGCCTCAAGCATACGAACCCAATACTTCCTTCTTGTGATAGGTACATTGTTCATTGAATCTAGAAGAAGAAAGATGAGTGTCTAACCAGCCTTAAACTGCTTTGGTCGATTAGTCAGTGAGTCAGTTACAACGTAGAACTTCGTACGTACGTACATAAGTTCATGTCGCCGTACCGCATCAACACAGACGCCATTGTCAATTCAAACCCCGTAGTGGTACAGACAGTAGACGGTTCGAAGATATTATTGAAGAAGTACAATTCAGTGAGATAAATCTTGAAAGAGGGAAGATAAAGGTGATGAGGAATTCGGAAGAGTTTAGAATTCGAGAGAAGACAATAAGTAGATGCATCAGTGCCATTGCAAACGATTTTGAACCATGTCATTCAAGGTCTCTACCCATCGATTACTGTCATCTCGTGGACCCCAACTAGGTGGGTGCAGATGATCTCTAGCTAGGCAAGCTGGAAAACTCTGATTTTAAACCAATGGTACCCATCGGTTCCAATATCTTAAGGTGATAGATGGCGTATAAATCTATTGTTAGTAACTAGCTACCATGAGACTACATCTCCTTACGTTCTCCCCCCCATCGCCTTGTGGATTAGACCTGTAGTGATGGAAAGGCTTGAGGAGCGGCATCCTGAGAGAACACACCGGTTTTGACTTCAGTAGTCGAGAAGTATCTTGTTCTACTTAAAAATTCAGTCAGTCAGAGTCAGTCAGCCCGACCGTAGCTGCTACCTTGACGTGGTGGTCGGGCTTGCCTATCGTGATGACCCAGCCGAGCTATACTGGCTGGAATATATGTTCCTGAAGGTTCTACCATGCCAGGCAGGTCGATTGGAAAACGATGAGACTAAAAGAAGCAACCTGAAGGTCTGAGGTCGAAGTCGTACTGCTGACTGTGATGGAGGTGTGTGCCATCAGTAAGGTGTTTCCCTCAGACAACCAGCATCTGCAGCCATGCTGCCTTCTGAAAAGGAAGGAAGGATTAGAAGATGTCGACCCTAAAAATGTCACACCTCACCCTACCTCACGGATTTCCGTCTTCGTCGGTAAAGGTGCCCACTAAGGGCTTTTAAGAGCGGAGCTAATAATCAAAAATCCCTTCATAAACAGGCCGTGCGTGACCGGCCTGAAGCAGTTGTCCCTTGGACTCTGCGGTCACGCTCCGAGGTCTCCAAGACCAACACTAATCTATCTTCCTTTTCAGGTCCCTCAAGAGACAACCTTCCACGGTGTGGGCAGCCGGAAAGTGACAACCGCCCTCATACCCGTAGCAGCACGAGAGATCAATCTGGTCCTACACTTAAAAATTCACAAATTTGTGTATCTCATCAATACTTTCATATCCCTTTGTACCAATAATTGTGTTTAACTAAAATAATTAAATGAGTTTCATTGAAATCATCAATAATTCTTAGTTTGAGACTCATCAGTAGTAGTACGTATCCACAACCGAACACGACAGAATCGGAAATAGCTCCTTCAGCCTCACGTACAAATGCTTAGCATCCAGCAGTGTTTATGTGTAACTTAAATCAACCCGTGATATCGCACGATCAATTTCTATTGTCTTCGGTAGATCGGAGGAGTCTCATATTAGTATGAAATGGCCGTCCAATTCTACTAGGTTTACAATGGTAGTCTAATATTCATCAGTTTAGAAACTTGGTGCATAGGTTGTCCAGCAAATGCACGAATTGAAAATTTTAAACTCTACCATTTTTATCCCATTTAAAGCAACTGTTTCTTATTAATGTCAAGATATACTTGTCTTTTTCTACTCTGTTTTCACTATTATTCAAAGTATCATTGAAACTTGTCAGTGGTTAAGATTTATAACTCCTAAAAAAGTGATTTTATTGGAAAGTCGCTCCTCGAGTCTTTGACTTTCAGGTCTATTCCACAAGGCAATGGAGCAAAGTCAGGAAATGTGGTCCTGTGGTAACACGTAACCAACTATAGGTTCATGCACTTTTCGATATCTCAGCATCTAGGAGTTTTTGTGCATCATAGGTTTAGAATGAAGATCTTTTACAGCTCGCTTAGGTGGATCCTCTAGAGGTTAGGCGTTCGCGCGCAAGACCAAGGGTTCTGGGTTCAAATCCTGCAAATTGCAGGAGTTGTGGATGCGCACTACTGATGAGTTTCATATCAGGACGGAATGGCCATCTTTCAGTGCTTCCATGTTTCTAATGATGGTCTAACGTTGATCAGTTCATGATTTCATTAAGCTCAGTTGAGTTCCGAAACTCACTTTTCGTCCTCTTCATTAGATAATCAACACTTTCCGCCACGAGAAGACAGTGAGTAAGATCTATCTGACTGTGGCTATACTTTCATTGTCATGTGAGAATTTTTTAATAGGTTTCGATGACTTCTTTTTACTCTTGATCATACCATGGAATTTCGCGGACAGGATCATATGATGAATAATTATCTAATCATGAGATTATAAATTCACATGTCATTAGTTTAAGGTTTTCTTTAAGCTTATTAATTTTGATTAGGTCATATCGACAATTTCTACAAAACGTTTAGAATAACTATAATCATATGGTCATTTGTGAATAATCTTAAACAATAATTCTTTGGGGGCTTGTGAGAAATCAGATACAGTGGTGTTTAACCCTATATCAAAATGTGAGAAAGATCAGTCAGTCAGTCAGATGTCACGTAGAACTTTGTACGTAAGTACATCAGTTCATATTGCCATACCACATTAGCATAGAGATATAATTGTCAATTCGAATCCAATAGTAGAAGAGGTAGTAAAGGTATTAGAAGTAATCGGAGAGGTTAGGATTAGAAGATATTATTCAAGATGTATGATTCAGTGAGAAAAGTTTACAAAGTCAAAACTAGAGGGGTTGAAGAATCCAGAAGATTAGGATTTGACAGAACACAAAGAATAAATGCACTGGCGCCATTGCGAACGATTTTGAGCCATGTCATTCAAGGTCTCTAACCATCGATTATTATCATCTCGCGGACACCAACCAGGTAGTCGACAATTACCGACATGGCTAAGTCCACTTGTCAATGATTTCATGGATTTCTGCCATGTTGCGGTTTGGCCGCCCCAAACTTTCTTCCAACCTATTCCCACACTACAAAACATAGCTCATCGAGGCAGTCGGTGGTTTGGCATACGCAACACATGTCCCAACCACCTCAATTGATGAAGTTTCAATACTTCATCTATTGACTGGTCATCCTTACCTAGAACTCGTTTCCTAACAACAGGATTGCCTATACAGTTGTCCCATGATACACGAGCAATGTTTCCGAGACGTCGACGATCGAAGACTAGTAACCGACGAATATCTTCTACTCTCACTGGCCATGTTTCACCACCATAAAGTAAGACAGAGCGAACCACTGCACAGTACACTCGTCCTTTAGTCAGCAAACGGATATTTCGCCATAAGTGACACAGGTTGGCAAAAGCCAATCGAGCCTTCTGTATCCGTGCTGAGATTTCGTCAGTCACCAGGCCATCAGCACTGATGAGACTCCCAAGATAAGTAAAGCGGTCTACACGTTCAACTACTTCACTCCCTATCACTAGTTCAGTTGCCGATGCAACCCAGTCTTGAAACAACATTTTGCATTTCGAGGAGGAAAACGGCATCCCGAACATGCTCGCATTGTTGCCTACGGTAGTCAGAAGACTCTGCATTTTGTCAGCGTCTTCACCAAGTAGAACAATGTCATCGGCATATTCTAAGTCAATAAGCGAGCCACCTGGTAGAAGGTCTACTCCTGAAAATTCAGACGAGGATAATGTTAACTCTAGGAGCATGTCTATGTTAAAATTAAACGAAAATGGAGAAAGTGGACATCCCTGACGGACACCACTTGATGTAGAGAATTCCGATGACAGTTTGCTATAAGCTCTCACTCGACCAGTGGTGTTCGAGTAGAGAGCTTGTATGAGGTTAATTTACTTCTTTGGTACACCTTCCAATGACAGACACTGCCACAGAACCCCACGATCTGCAGAGTCGAATGCCGCTTTTAGGTCCAGGAAGACAATTGTAGGACGCCTAAATGTGTGTCTATGTTCCAGGACCTGTCTGAGTGTGAAGATGTGGTCTATACAACCACGTCCAGGTCGAAAACCAGCCTGGTTTTCTCGAGTCTGCTCTTCACGAGCTTTTGTTAAGCGTCGAAGTATTATTGAGGCCAGTATTTTAGATACTATATTAGTTAGACTTATTCCCCTGTGATTGTCACAAGAAGACTTTTGTCCTTTCTTATAAATTGGGACAATCAGTGATTGAGACCAGTCGGATGGGATTACGTCCAGAAAGATGGTTATATAGTATTCGTTTTAAACTGAAATTGACTCAGTGATCTAAAGTTCAAATGTTCACTGCGAGGTCGAAACATCTTGGGTTCGATTCTCGTTCATTTTATGCATATGCATTTCCGAGGTGTCTTGTACTGGGAAAAGACATGTAATGTGTGTACTATTATGTCGAGTCCACAGAGCTTGCCAAGCCTTTGGACAGTGTCATCAATCTATTCTTCATGAGTTATTGTTCATTCGTCTTTCGACCTGGTTAGGGTCCGCTACACAATAGTAATAACTACTGATTAAAGACCTTGAATGACATGGCTCGAAATAGTTTTGCAATGGCACAGGTTTATCCACTTTTTGTGTTCTCTGAAATTTTAATCTTTTGAATTCTTCACCACTTTTATCTTCCTTTTCTCAAATTTATTTCACTGAATTGTACTTCGAACCTTAATCTTTCCGATTACTGCTTCTACTTCTACTGCCAAAACATGGCAGAAATCTATGAAGTCATTGACAAGTGGACTGAGCCATGTCGGTAATTGTCGACTACCTGGTTGGGGTCCGCGAGATGATAATAATCAATGGTTAGACACCTTGAATGTCATGGCTCAAAATCGTTCGCAATGGCGCCAGTGCATTTATTCTTTGTGTTCTGTCAAATCCTAATCTTCTGAGTTCTTCAACACCTCTAGTTTTGACTTTCTAAACTTATCTCATTGAATCATACTTCTTGAATAATATCTTCTAATCCTAACCTCTCCGATTACTTCTAATACCTTTACTACCTCTTCTACTATTGGATTTGAATTGGTAATTATATCTGTGCTGATAAGGTTTGGCAACATGAACTGATGTACTTACGTACGGAGTTCTACGTTGCATCTGACTGACTGACTGACTTCTACTGACTCTACTACTATGTAATTTGAATTGACAGTTGTATCTGTATGTATGAATGTGATATGGCAACTTGAACTGATGTACTTACGTACATACGAAGTTCTCTGTTGTTTCTGACTGACTGAGTTATCATCAGTTCACAGTGTATCGTCTGTTACTGTTTAGATCCTGATATGGTACTAAATTTTACTTTCTCCTTATTTCTTCATCACACTGTTGTAATATTTCCATCTCTCTTTCTCTCTCTCTCTTTTCATATTTAGGCATCTTCATTGAGTGGTGATGAAGCTAATCGTCGTTGGACTAGTTTACTCAACGCTATCAATTGTCAATCAGTAGAAAATGCATCAGTGGCAAGATTTTGGCAAGGTGCTCTTAGTCAATATTCACGTAATCATATATGTCATTTACGTAAATGTCCAACAGCGTCCAACTCGACGAATACATCACGACGTGGTTCATTCAGTTCCAGTAATGCTGATTTAAATGCAGCTGTTTTCGCTTCGGCTTCTACAATCAGTTAATCGATTGATTGATTGATTGATTTCTCTTTGCATGATCATGCTTTTTCTCTCTCCCTCTTGATTTCTATTTTGTAAATTATTTGAGTATTATGATGATGATGATGATGATGATGATGATTATTGTCATCGTCGGTTCGTCCAACTCTCTTTATCTGTCTGTCTCTCTGTCTCTCTCTCTCTCTCCCTGTCACTCTCCTTCATATCATTCATTATGTAATTCACAAATTATGTGTATAAATTCAATTTGATTTGAGTTCATTGATTTTTACTTATTCATAATTATACTACTACTAATACTACTACTCCTACCTTGTAAATAAACATATAACCAACCAACCACCACTATTATTATTATTCCACTAGTTTCCGGTGTTTTTATCATCCATACTTGATCATAAACGAACGATGAACTAACTGCTGTTGTTGTTGTTGTTTACATGAAACCAACTAGTTAGAGTTGTACCCGGTGTGTCTGTCTCTGTGTGTGATTTTGTGTTGAGATGACACTGTAAAAAAAGCAAGAACAGCTATACCTTACTGTCTGCTTGCTGCCTTGTATCTTCTTACAAACTGTTCTAGCCTGACACCGACAATTGACAAGGAAAATTATCTTCCAGCACTGATTATTGTGTATAGTTGTTATTTAGTAATTCATTTTATACACAAATGTACTATACTTCATCTTTGATCAGTTTTTTATCACGCACACAAACTCCGACCCATTCGTCCGACTATTCACAGCCCATTACTTGCTGACATGTATTGCTCATGTATAAAAGAAACAAAATGCATTTTGCTCATTCTGTCATGTGATTATTATTATTATTATTGTAGTCTTAATAATTGTATATTTTCATGTATATACATATATATATATATATCTAAAAACTATGTCTATATACTTGAAATTGTGTACAAGTTGTTGACCAAGAACTCCGCTGCTGAATTGAGCAGCTGTCAAGTTGTTTTGAGCCAATCAACATTGAAAGCTGATTCAAGGTTTTTGTCATTTCATTCTGATTGGCGCTTTGTACTGTGGTATCGGAAAAACACATTTTCCATCTAACTTATATATTTTATCATCAATCGATCGATCGATATACAGATATATCTGCTTGTTTTTTTATATTGATACTCATTATTATTGTAATTGTACATAATTCACTGTATATTTATGAACGATGATCAATCTCGTCATTGTCATTGACGAAAAATGTTTTGTGTGTGTTCGTGTGCGTGCATGTGTGTAACTTTGTTGATTTTGGGTCTCATTATGTCATTTATTGATGCATATAATTTCAGGTTTGACAGCAAAGAATTTACAGTGTTTTTTTTTCTTTGTGAGTGAATACTTTTTTTCCGAAAGAAAGTGTTAATTAAGTTAGTCAGTTAATCAGTCAGACGGCTACAATGTAGAACTTGGTACCTGCGTACGTACGTACACATACATATAACCCGACCGTATCTGCTACCTTGACGTGGTGGTCGGGCTTGCCTATCGTGATGACCCAACCGAGCTATACTGGCTGGAACATATGTTCCTGAAGGTTCTACCATGCCAGGCAGGTCGATTCGAGAATGATGAGACTAAAAGCAGCTACCCAATGTCTGAGGGCGAAGTCGTACTGCTGACTGTGATGGAGGGGTGTGACAGCAGTAAGGTGTTTTCCTCGGGCAACCAGCATCTGCAGCGATGCTGTCTTCTCACAAGGAAGGAAGGGTTAGAAAAGGTCGACCCTAAAAATGTCACACCTCACCCTACCTCACGGATTTCCGTCTCCGTCGGTAAGGGTGCCCACTAAGGGCTTTTAAGAGCGGAGCTAGTAATCAAAAATCCCTTCATAAACAGGCCGTGTGTGACCGGCCTTGAGCAGTTGTCCCTTGGGCTCTGCGGTCACGCTCCCGTGTCGTTAAGACCAACACTATCTTCCTTTTCAGGTCCCTCAAGAAACAACCTTCCACGGTGTGGGCAGCCGGGAAGTGACAACCACACATACCCGTAACAGCACACGAGACCGAATTGGTCGAAATCAAATCCTTCATACACCCCCTAATACCTCTAGAACATGAGCACGAAGAGATTGAATCGCTAATTCACGTCCCATAGTAATAAAAAGTATTAGCAGTAATCGAAAAGATCAGGGATCGAAAATAATGATTCGGGAAGTATAAACCAGTGAAAGGGATTTCGAAAGAAAAAAACGGTCATGAGGAATTTTAGATGACGATAAGAGTTTGAGAGGAGATAAACAGCGGATGTATTTGCCCTATTGCAAACGAATTTGAGCTATACCAAACCATTGGTTACGATTGTTTGGTCGACTTCAACCAGTTAGTCTACACCTGTTAACACGACTCAGTCGACTTGTCAGTGACTTAATGGATTTGTGTCATGTTTTGGTTTAGCCACTAGTGGCTTTCTTCCAGCCTATCCCTACATCAGACAACATCGTAGATTGAGGTAGGTAGTGGTTGGTTATGCTTACGTAACATATGTCCCAACCGCTTCAACTGATGTGTGATACTGCTTTTCAATACACAAAACATCACAACCATTGTTATCTAGTCTGAAGATTGTGTTTTAGATGTGCCTGGTCGGTAGAAATCGGTGAGCACCAATGAGGAGAAGACGCACAGGTCATTGGTCACTACCCAGTAGTCGGTCAGTTGTAAATACATCTTGTTTCTACAGAAGGTTATTCACGGCTTGAATTACTCAATAGTGATGTCTCTGACTGTGAAGCTGAATGACACGGGATCGAATTCACCAGGGAGCATCAGTTTCCTGAATGCTACAGGTAAACCTAGTTTACCAGCGGCAAATAGCACAAAACCTAGCTCAAGGAGGGTTTTATGTCGACTACCTTCAACCACCACCTTACTATTTCCAAACATAGTGCACTTGATTTCGTGTCAACTAGATTAGTGGTCGGTTACATTACAACCTAATCGCCAGAATTCGAACAGCATTCTCCAAAACACTCTATTCTGCGCCTTCCTTTCTGGTTCTGTCCAACTGTAGTTCATTCTTCTCATATCCAGTGGCAGTGCACATACCAGGACGAAACGGCCATCCAGTGCTACCAGGTTTTTAATGGTGGTCTAACATTGATCGATTCATGGTTTCAATAAGCAATTATGTCATAAGATCTTGTATTCTACTATGAATTCATATTATTTCATGATTATTTCATGAATTCCAAGTGATGATGACTCAATAAATTGCCAGAACTATAACATTGGCTACATTCAAGTCAATGTTGAAAAAGATTGATCTGTTATATACAAAATGGATCAATGTCAAGTTGGTTATCAAAACTTCATAACAATTATATGCTTATAATCTATGTATGAGGTGGGATCAGTTCAACTTTCCTTCAGCTACACTTCGGTTACCCACGATCTCCAGTCATCCTGAATGGTAAGTCGACGTAAGCCCTCCGAACCTCTATGAATTTGAAAAGGCTATGGGAAATCTAAAGGGAGGGCGAGCCGCAGGTCCTGACAGGCTTATCCCTGAGATGTTTAAGGATGGTGGTCCAGCTTTAGCAGCTAGATTGACTGAAATCTTAGGTAGAATCTAGGAACTGGACGTAATACCATCTGAGTGGTCTCAATCACTGATTGTCCCAATTTATAAGAAAAGACAAAAGTCCTCTTGTGACAATCACAGGGGAATAAGTCTAACTAATATAGTTTCTAAATTGCTAGCCTCCATTATTCTTAGACGCCTAACTAGTGTTCGTGAAGAGCAGACTAGAGAAAACCAGGCTGATTTCAGACGTGGAAGTGGATGTATAGACCACATCTTCACGCTAAGACAGTTCCTGGAACACAGATACACATTTAGACGTCCAACAATTGTTGTCCTCCTGGACCTAAAAGCGGCATTCGACTCTGTTGATCATGAGGTTCTGTGGCAGTGTCTGTCATTGAAAGGTGTACCAAAGAAGTACATTAACCTCATACAAGCTCTCTACCATAAAACTACTGGTCGGGTGAGAGCATATGGCGAACTGTCAACGGAATTCTTTACTTCAAGTGGTGTCCGTCAGGGATGTTCACTCTCTCCATTCTTGTTTAATTTTATCATAGACATGATCTTAGAAATAACCTTATCCTCGTCTGAATTTGCAGGAGTAGACCTTTTACCAGGAGGCTCGCTTATCGACTTAGAATATGCCGATGACATTGTCCTACTTGGTGAAGATGCTGACAAAATGCAGAGTCTTCTGACTACGATAAGCAACAATGCAAGCATGTTCGGGATGCGGTTTTCCCTCTGGAAACGCAAAATGTTTCCTCAAGATTAGGTTGCATCGGCAACTAAACTAGTGACAGGGAGTGAAGTAGTAGAACATGTAGGCTACCTGGCTGGGGTCCGCGGGACGAAAGTCACCGATGGTTAGAGACCTGGAATGACATGGCTCAGAATTGTTTGCAGTGGCGCAGGTGCGTCCACTCTTTGTGTTCTCTCTAATTCTAAGCCTCTGCATTCCTCATAATCTCTACCTTTCTCCTTCTAAATTTATCTTACTGAATTATACTTCTCGAATCATATCTTCGCTCCCTGATCTTCTCCATTAATGCTCATACTTCTATTATTGCTATCACTGTTGGATTTGAACTGACAGTGGCTTCTCTGTGCTGATGTGGTATGGCAACCTGAACTGATGTACTTATGTACGAAGTACTGCGTTGTATCTGTCTGTCTGTCTGCATCAGGTGGGAAAAATATAATTTGTCAACTGAGCTTTGGTCTGACCATATTCAATTAATAATGATTATGATGATCACTTAACACATTGAGGAAAGCATTCAGACTCGTCACAAGCTAAGCTCTCACCTGGAATCCTCAGGGCTGAAGGAAAAGAGAAAGGCCGATAAATGGAGATGGATATGAGAAGAATGAACTACAGTTGGACAGAACCAGAAAGGAAGGCGCAGAATAGAGTGTTTTGGAGAATGCTGTTCGAATTCTGGCGATTAGGTTGTAATGTAACCGACCACTAATCTAGTTGACACGAAATCAAGTGCACTATGTTTGGAAATAGTAAGGTGGTGGTTGAAGGTAGTCGACATAAAACCCTCCTTGAGCTAGGTTTTGTGCTATTTGCCGCTGGTAAACTAGGTTTACCTGTAGCATTCAGGAAACTGATGCTCCCTGGTGAATTCGATCCCGTGTCATTCAGCTTCACAGTCAGAGACATCACTATTGAGTAATTCAAGCCGTAAATAACCTTGATTGAGGGAAAACAAAGAGTAAGTATAGAACCATGTGATTAATGACGATTTCAGTGTGTAAAAACAACAACCTCCATTATACTTTGATACAAAATCAAAACAATGCGCTCATTAGTGATTAGCTTCGTGAGAAAACTTCTCGGAGTTCTAGTAAGAAGACGTGACCAGTGGAGTAAGTAGATCAATCATGTCGGATGTAGGCAGTTACTTACCGAAGACAAATGGGTGAGGTTTCGCTAAATCCTTAGATTGATCAGAGTTAGACAGAAACACGATTGGATGCCGGCTCAGTTGTCCAGAGGTTAATCGTTCGCTCTCTTTTCCTATTGTTAACAAGCACTACTGTTCTTTATTTTTGCCTCCAATTTCTGGCGTAATGTATTCCTTGGTCTGCCGTTTTCCATTTTGGCCTTGTCTCATGATGCAGTTAGATGCTTTCCACAATGTGTATACGACCAACTTCCATAGTCTTTTCCTAATTTCTTTTTCAGCCGGAAACTGGTTCATTCTCAACCACATTAGGTTGTTACTGATGGTGTCTGGCCAATTTATTTGAAGTATGTTGCTGTTACGCCTGCACTTAAACACATCAACTTGATATACTTGAAGTATTACAAGTATACCTAGTCGGAAAACGAGAGCGAGGATCCAGTGACACGACATGCTACTCAAATCCGATTATCCCAACCCCCATAAGAAGACTTGAATGTGAAGTAGAACGTGTATTCTACAAGCATTCAGAAAGTACGAGGTCCGAATTTAGAAGAGAATCAGGATCCCGGACTAGGGATCCGAGACCGGGTCCTGGTCGTGGTCATAAAACCTTACGCATAATGCGTATTTATACATTTTGATTGAATAGGAAACAGCATCGAAGTCTGTGACATTGACAGTTAAGACGACAAATAGGAAGCAACATTTGAAGTGACATTGATAGTCAGGAAAACCGATAAGAAACAACATTACGGCACGTGACACTGATATCTAGGATGACGATAAAATTGACCAGTAGGAATTAACCAATAGGAATTGACCAATAATTCTCTTAGGATTTTGGATGAATATCCTAACAGTTTATT